TTCTTCGGTTTGATGTAGAATATCTTGATATTTTAAAATACTCACGATGCTGTCCATGGTTTTGTCCACATACGGTGAAATTGGCAGCTCCTTCGCCGATTATCAACGCGTCTTCATCACATTCTCCTGTTGTTCTATTTGGTTGGCCCTTGAAATTAAAAGCATTAGAAGTAAAAATAAATATTATTCATTAAAGAACTGAAATGTAAAAGCTTTTGTAGTTAACAATTGGGTAAGAAGAATACCAAAATACATAACGAAGTCAGTAAGAGCTAACGTTAAAAATCCGAAACTCCGTAGATTGAATTTCGCTGTCCGTCCTCTTAAAACCCTCTCGGCTCCACTCTTTATTACATTTACCTAATTTGATCCGGCCTTAGCAGCGCTAATTTCATTAACATCAATTCTTTTCTGACGTCACACTAATTATAATTAGTCGAAATGCGGCAATTCGTAATTGTTAGTTCTTTTCCTTTGGTTCTTTTTTATTCTTTTAATCTACGATTTTAAAACGCGGAATTTCGAAACAATTGACTATCGCACAACGGTTGTGCGATAGTCGATTGTTTCGAAATTCAATACAACTGTTTAGTTGCTTAACTAAAAATCGAATAGTGTGCGCACCTCCATATAAGCTCATAGAAATCGAAGCTAGACTAAACAGTTGTGCGATAGTTTAGTAAAATGTGCGCGCACTTTAATACTTACTATAGTAAAATGTACGAAGTCAATCCGCAGCTGCATGATGCCGGCGTGTGTTTTCTCTACGGTGACGTCACAGTCCTGATCCCCGTGCCACAGATCCGGGAAGCCCGGCGACATGAAGTACGTCAGGTTGTTCTGCACCACGCCCCCGCAGGTCACCTCGACTGGGACACATTTATGTAACTAACGGCGTGTTCACACTGTCTAATACATGTGTATCAACAACTGTTCGTCTTATTATTTTTGTAAAAACAGAGATAGTTACCAATCGTAGTGGATAGTTGAAATTTCGTTTAAAAGCGTTTTATTATAAAACCAAATTTTATTTAATATTTTGTGTTTTCCTTTTATGTATTGAAAGTAATGTAATGTGAACTTTTATTTAAATTTCAGCGGAATTTCAAATTTATACAGTTTCTAAATTACGACAAAAGTTTCTAATCTCAAAAACTTAACGACCCATAAAAGTAATTTAGTGTCTGTACTGCGGAGGTCAAAAAATCTATTTAGAATTAACTTTTATTCGTTAAAATTAAAAGTAGCGTTATTAGAGAGTATAAAAGTTTACAAAGAACCTTGATTTTTAATTATAAATGCTTTTTAATTATTATGAGAACGAAAACTTTTGCGTTTGTTACTGATTAATTTTTCCCTAATTAACTAACAGTTAATAGTTAATATACATATATTTAGAGAAAACCTCGTAATTGGTTTGTACTCGTTGATAGTTTACGATAATCATTAAATAGGGAATCGAACCCACGACCATATGATCCACCATTCAAGGTTTTTCTTTCATTGGTTCTAAATTGAACAACTACCTTCATAAACATTGTAATATACGTCCATTCGAGTACAGCTAGATGGCATTAAGTCAGTCTGTTAAACATTTTAATGGCATCCCATGTTAAATCGCTACTTATTCCGTATTCCGTTATAATTGGGATGAGACGTCGCGTGCTGAGAATGTTCCCGCAATTTGCATACCTTATTGAAAGATATTATGAATACATTCGCTGTAGTTTATTGATTACATCGCTCGCTGTTGTGATGTAGTCATATTAACGTAATTATAAAAATAATTTTACACATTTCATTTATTTTAATGTAATTAATTTTAACCATTAAATTAATTTATGTTTAATTAATCTCAATTATTAATTTCCATTAAAATTAAATTACGATTAATTTTGTAGATATAATTGAATGCAATATTAATCAATTATTACAGATTATTAGTATAGGCTTTAGCAATGCAATTACACAAGTATTACTAATCTAATTGTAAATTAACAGACATTAGATTAATTTGGACATTAAAGGATTTGGGTTACACTTATCTATGCAATTAGGAAATGACTTATTTGTCTTGCTTTGGGTTTCGACTGTGACACAACATATTTAATGTATTGTTTTCTTAGAGAATATAAAGGTTTTGTTTTATGATTTTAAGACTTGTCAATGGAATAAACATTACTTAATTACTTAATAACTTAATTCGTTTTTAAAAATCGAAAAAAACAAAAAGCAATTTTATTTTACTATCGTAATATATCATGAAGTAGGTTTACTTTCATATTCTTCCGCAACATTAAACTTTATTCGATAACTATCTTCAAAGGTCCTCGTAAAAATCTACGATCCGTTTTTATTCACGTTTGTTTTTCAAATGAACGAATTTTCAGAAAACAAAAACAATCATACTACGATCACCAAAACAAAAAAACAATCCGATGTTCTTTATAAAAATTGAACTATAACTTTTCCCATATCATTAAACGAAGTTCCATCTAAGTTATCCGTAAGTTTTAAGTGTGCCAGATGCCTGAATCTGACCGCAAACTGTCTTACGTTCTCGTTTATAGTTGCTCTAAAAGACATTAAAGATGCGGTTTAAAATATACCGCTACGACTGTCTATCGTTTGTTTAGATAGAAACGTTTTACACATCACGACACGGGGACGACACGATACTCATTTGAGTGTTCTTTTTATATGCCACAATAACATCCCGAAATTAGGATTACAAGGGGTCAAGATAACGTTAAGGTAAACCTTTCCCCAATAGTCTCAAGTGAATTAGGCTTTGTTAAACTACGATAACTCAATGTTTGACAAGTTTAAATTCCTTTGCATATTGGTCAATATGGAAGTGTTAACGCCCATTAGAAAACCACCTTTGTGAATGGACGATAAATGCCATGAATATTTCCAACTAAAGATAAATAAACCACAATAACATCTAATAAACTACATATAGATGCGTGAAAGTTGTACACAATCGTCTCGTTACGGAGGTTTCAGGCGGCGAGCTTCGGCCGCTAGACAATGCCACCACTTGCAGACAATCGCTCGTCTGTCACCGTCACTTAACATTTTATTAGACTTTCCGATTGTATAATTCTCTGATAGTTATTGAAAATTATAACTAATGTGTCATCTATAATCTATACTGACATTATAAAGAGAAGATTTATATTTATGTATAACTCTAAAACTACGGCGTCGATTTTAAAAATTCATTCACCATTAAACAGCTACGTTATTTATGAATAACATAGGCTATGTTTCATTATTTCAAGCATGCGAAGTCGCAAGCAAATGCTAGTTAATAATGTTTTTGTCGTTGTAAACGGATTCAAAACCTAATCGCATCGTGCAATGGAGATTATAGTTTTAAGATATTTTATTATGATACGAAAAAATATAAATAGTAATTTTCCGCATTAAAAATGTTCCATGTATTTACTTTAGGTATTTTTTAAATAAGGTAATCATCAAGTAAAAGAACTCCATATGAATTTGTTAAGGACTATAAAAGTTTTCGTACTCACTGGTCTCGATTACACTTAAGCTAGAAAGTTCGCTCAAATCCTGGATTGAGTTACTTCAACATTGGAAAACTTATAGTTCAACATAAGTTAAATTACTTTCGATCAACTCTACTTAATTTAACCTCGTTACAATTGTATTTATCGCAAATAGTCTTCGTTTTAACAGATTTTGACACTTAACTTGACTAGCATATCCTTATTTCAAAAATACACTTTATTCTTATCTTTTTAATAATATGTAGATATATTACTATTTGTCCATTAGGTTTCTCTACTTACAGACACAGCAGACGCCAAGTCCGTGCGCACAGTCGCCAGCCGCTTTGCCGTCACGTTGCCGACAGTCGTAAGGGTTGAGGCAGATGCCCGCGCGGGCAAGGGTCTGCCCTTCCGGCCGACACTCCCGCTCTCCTCCCACTGGGAAGAAGTTCAGCACCTTGCCCAGGGAGAAGAGACCACCTGCGAAAATATATCTGTTAGGTCCTCATATTATATGAAATAGTTGACATCTGCAGTAATACATTTGTACTATATAGAGAAACTCTTTAACTGAATATTCCGTTAGCACATTAGTATGTTTAAAATAAATAATACTATATACCATAGAATCCACACTAGCTTTTTAAAATAAACCTTTTAAGGAAACTCACGACTTTACTTTAAATGGGGAACAATGTAGGAACACTGCCGTGGTGTATGCACAGACTACTTACAAGTAGAGAGGTTACTATAAATAACATTTGGTATGGATTTAAAATTACATGACTGTGATTTTTGGCCTTTTTAATTAGTATATTACAATTCAGTTCAGCCGTTCAGCCGTTTAGCTAAAAACTCTAACAAACATCAACCCATCCATCTTAATTTTCACATTTATAGTATTAGTTAGAAGTAAGATCTAATTTCAACATAAGACAAAAGTAGATAAAAGTAACAGAGTGCCAAAATTTTATATTTACTACACCTAATTATTAGCACCTCTGTTAAACTCTACTCTATGATATAGTACAAAATATAGCGAAAAATAGGTAAGATGCTTCCTCTAGGAGACGGCTCTCGGTATAGTAAAGCGACGCGACGTCGAACGTTACATTCCTTGCAGATAACCGACGTCAATGCTAAGGAAGTGTGGCACTTTGTGAAATTGTCGATATGTAGCGACGCGACCATATCGTGTGAATTCAAGCCCATCCCTTTATAGAAACGAGTACATTAGAAAAATGTAATAGAGTAAAATTTTCAGAAGTGCTATTCTAAACTTTTTTTTTAATATTAGACTATATAAACAAGACTTTATTATTTTTTTTAGGGCAGGCCAATTAATATATGTACATAGTTTAGTTATCTAAAGTTTCCTATTGATCGAAGTTTCTAAAACGTACAATTTTCTCCGTTTTTCTAAATAGTAAAATGTAAATTTTAACACTGAAGTGAATCCATTGCTATTTGCTATTATCTCATTTATGTCTTATCTTCAATGCAGTTAACTCTTAACATTACAAGTTTTTCTTATATCCTTTCTATGCAATTATGATTAAACTTGGAAATAATTTATTTCTTCCAAATGTTTTCAACATATTTAAATTCATGCTGAATACAGAGGACTAAAATGTTTGTTTTTTAGTCATTTTAACATGCGAGTCAATTATAGTGGGTTATAAAAAGTTTTAGGGTTGCCACTTACTAAAACTTTATTATTTTTTGATGTTACAATACGTATTGAGAAATCGATATAGTTTTTTTTAGATTATTAAAAGTGGGTGAATGAGTTACTTTTGCATTTTTGTAAGTTATTTGGATGTAACATTAGTTATACGAGTATATCGATTTAAATAATGTAAGAAAATCTTCCGCACCTAACAGGAAGGTGACAACCCTATCAATTTCTCTATAGTTGTAACTTCTATACCAGTGTTCTTAAAGTGTCAGTCATGCTGTTTTGGACTTTTTGTAATTCGTACTTTTCCACACCATTTAGGGTTCTTTCAAGAAACGATGAGTCACTTTTTGCTAAAAACATTAATCTTATTTTAATTGCAGTTACGAAATTAATCAATAGCGATTATACACATAATTTTTATTATTGTGTTGATTTTCAATTTATAAATATCTCTACAGTAATGCGAATAAGGTTCAAATTAAATTTATCTAACTAATATTATAAATGCGAAAGTTTAGATGTATGGATGGATGGATGTTTGTTAGAGTTTGTAGCCTAAATGGCTGAACGGATCTCAATGAAATTTGGCATAGACATAGAGCATAGTCTGGAAGAACACATAGGCTACTCACTTTTGTTTTTTTTTTTAAATCCACGCGGACGGAGTCGCGGGCGAAAGCTAGTTGTAAATATTTTTATGTACAGAACCATGGATATAAATTGGAGTGTAAGCAAAATGTTTATTTTTTCTCGTTACTCAAATTCGGCTCCGACAAGTGTTTAGAAGTACTGTTAGCACACTTTCACCGCATTAACTTTTTTTTTCGATGGTGCACAGATGAATCGTATTAAAAGGACCAGTTGTATGATTTGGAATGATTACGAAGCACAATTTGATAGAAAGTCATAGTTAACGGGCCTTTTATGGTCATATTACAGCTTCGGAGTTTATTAACTAACTATACTTCGCCCGCGACTCCGTCCGCGTGGAATTAAAAAAAAAAAACGAAAATAAATAGCCAATGTGTTCTTCCAGGCTATCCTCTACATCCATGCCAAATATCATAGAAATCCATTCAGCAGTTTAGGCTACAAACTCTAACAAACATCCATCCATCTAAACTTTCGCATTTACAATATTAGTAAGATGAAAAATTCGAATACAATTGAAGTATCGAAAATGAAAAAAAAAACATACAGACGAATTGAGTACCTCCTTCTTTTGGAAAGTCGGTCAAAAACCAAAGGCAGTAAAATTTTTCACTAACCTTTTTTTACATTTATCTTAAAAAAAATGAAGCAGCTACCGTTTTTATCGTTTTTTTTTTTAATTTATATCATTCTCGTGTTCACTGTCTGCAACATTTTAATTCTAAACCAAATTCGTCGTCCACTAAACGATATTGTGGTTTGTGGTCTGTTTGAAAGTAGACATAAATCCGACAGAGGTCAGACATGTCGACCCCACACAGAAGCAATCACTGTCAATCAAATTGACTGTTAAAAACACTTACAAACAAAATGAAATGTCTCCTATCATTTTTAATACGTTATTTCTTAAAAACCTCATACTGCTTGCCATATTCAAAGTTTAAAAAATTACCATTCTTTTATCCGTCTCATTAGAGCAGGCGCACATCTCTGACTAAACTATCGCACACTGTTGTGCGATTGTCGATTGTCGCAGACCAACTGTTTAGTTGCACAACTAAAAATCGAGTAGTGCGCACCTCCCACGCCGCAGTTTCAGGTGTATGCTCTTAGTATTTTTAAATAATCACTATTTACAATAACAATGTGGCCAAGTTTATTTCTTTTATCCAATCGTACTGGCAGTCTTTAAAAAAAAACTAACAATGTCTACTTTCTACAGTAACTCTAAGCTATAGAAAGTAGAGCGACAATACTTGGTATTTTTAAACCATTATATGCTTATTGTCTTTTTATTTTACTGATTTTTTTGTAAAAATACACCTTCTATTGACACAAAAACATTTAAGGTCTGAGGTCCTATTTGAAGCGACATTAACCTATTGGTTAATGATACAGATTTCTAAGCACGTGGTCGAGGGATTCCCGCCATTTGAATATCGTAAGCACAAGTCTAGAGCTAATAAGGTAGATATTTTTAAAAACTTAGGGCTTTTCTAAATTGTTAGATAAAAATACAACGTACAAAATATGACGCAAGTTTTGGATTTTCGTGCTATCTGACAGAAACGTCATTTTTAAGCTATCTGAGTCTCTATCAGCCAGTGGTGGGATAGGTCCTTACACTCGTGCATTTACCTGTCGGGCTAGTGGGATATATTTCCAGCAAAATGGCATCAAGCGACATGATGTACTTTAAATCTAAAAGCAATACAGTAGTAATTCTTCGCGACTATTTCATACCACATAAAAG